GTCGAAGCAGGCATTTCTGCGCCCTTCTCTGGCGGTGCCGTGTGGGAGCAGCTGCCAGTGTTGGAGCACCTTCGAGTTTCCCAAGGATGGGGCCGTGTGCAAAGTGCAGGTCAGCCTGGAGATGAAGCGATTGCAGAATTGTGGCGGAGCTGGTGGCGCACCGAAGGCACACACCGTGAGACTTGTGGAGGGCGCCTTGTTTGTCTGCTATCAGGCGCGCTGTGGTGATAAAGTCAATGCGGTAGGCGGTCACAAGTTGAATTAAGCAGCATGGTGGACATTTCGGAGCGCTTTGCTCAGTTAGCTGCCAATGTGTCAGTTGATCTGTCATGTCAGCTTTGGATGTGGCCACTTCAGCCGCAATGGGGACAGGAACGCCGTTGCTGTTTGCACGCCCAGCTTTCACGGTCTGAGGGGCCACACCATGGTTCATTGGTCCATCTTTTTTGCACAGTTCCGTGGGCATCGGCCGCGAGATCGGGGATGCCTTGCCCGGCGACCCTTTGAGCGCACTGTGGCGCCAGTCCCTGGGGCGACGGCCTGGGGTTGAGGCTCGGGAGAGGGGGAGGGCCCCTGGCCGTGGCCCGAGTGGCAGATCTTCGGGGTGGCTGAGCAGTCGTATCAAGCTTGGTTCGGGTGGTGCCCAGCTGGGTGCCCCGGGTGTGGCACTCCACCTTCAGGGGGATGCCCTGGGATTTTGGGGGTCTTTTCCTTTCTGACTTCTTCAGGCTTATTCCTGCGCAGGGGGGTGCTGTGCGAGTAGCTCGTCGTATGTGATATTCAAATGCCTTACCGCAAGTCTCGCCACCGTGCCTTGGTTGGTTGTGGGTATGAAGACCATTGGATGTTCATTTGGATCTCGTGGTGGTCCTCTCGGGGGCCTCTTAGAGGCAGTTTTGAGGTTTCTTGGGGGCCGTTCTGGGGCCTCTGGGGTCCTCTTCTGGGCCTCTTGGGGGAGCCTCTTTGGGCCTCCTTGGGGCCTTTCGGGGGCGTCTCAGGGCCTCGTGGGCGCCTCTTGGGGCGCCTCTTGAGGCTTCCTGGGGACCTCTTGGGGCGGAGGGCTCGGATTTTCGGTTCGTGCTCCCTCTCTTGGGCTCCTCTTGGGGCCGCCCTGTGGTCCTCTTGGGCCGTCTTCGGCGCCTCGTGGGCCGCCCTGGGGCGCTCCTAGGGTGTCTCTTGGGGCCCTCTTGGAGCCCCCTGTCGCTGTTTTTGGGTGGTCTTGGGGATGCCGAATAGGAGTAGGAAGTGGAGGAGAGGGGAACGAGGGAGGGGAGGAGAGGGTTCAGCAGGAAGAGGAAGGGAGGATGAGCAATAGGAAGAGGGGGAGAGATGTAGAGGTGTGGATGATGATGATGATGATGATGATGATGATGATGATGATGATGATGATGATGATGATGATGATGATGATGATGATGATGATGATGATGATGATTATGAGATGAGGATGAGGATGATGATGATTATGATGATGATGAGGATGAGGATGATGAGATGAGGATGAGGATGAGGATGATGATGAGGATGAGGATGAGGATGATGATGATGATGATGATGATGATGATGTTGTTGATGATAATGGTGATGGTGATGATGCTGCTGCTGATGATGATGCTGATGATTATGATGATGATCATGATGATAAAAAGGGGGAGGCAGGGGGAAACGGGATGGGGTCAAGACAAGACAAGAGGAGGAATAGGAGGAGGAGGAAGAGGAGCAGTAGTAGGAGGAGGCGGATGATGATGACGATGATGACGATGATGATGATGATGATGATGATGATGATGATGCTGCTGATGATGATGATACTGATGCTGATGATGATGATGGTGATGATGATGTTGATGATGATGATGATGATGATGATGATGATGATGATGATGATGAGGATGATGACCATGCCGATGATTCTGATGATTATTATGATGATGCTGATGCTCATGCTGATAATTCGGATGCTGAATGTGTTGATGATGGTGATTCTGATGCTGATGATGATCTAGATGCTGATGATGGTGGTGATGATTAGAATGATGACGAACCTCATGATGATGACGAGGGGGAGGATAGGGGGATGAGGGGGAAGAGGATGAGCATACCTTTGATAATTAGGATGAGGAGGATCATGGGTATGAGGATGGTGGTGGTGGTGGTGATGCTAACGATGATGATGGTGGTGATGATGATGCTGATTCTCATGATGATGATGATGATGATGATGATGATGATGATGATGATGATGATGATGATGATGATGATGATGATGATGATGATGATGATGCTGATGATGCTGATACTTATGATGATGATGATAGTGGTGGTGGTGGTGACGGTGGGTGATGGTGATGGTGATGGTGATGGTGATGGTGATGGTGAAGGTGAGGGTGATGGTGATGATGATGATGCTGATGATGATGTTAATGATGTTGATGATGATGATGCGTAATGTGAAAATGGTAGTGGTGGTAGTGTATATGAGCAGGGGGAGGATGAGGATACATACGGGGGATGATGACAAGGAGAAGAAGGGTAACGATGATGATGAGGAGTCTTAGGGGAGGGAGGAAAAGGGGAAAGAGAATACGAGTGCCACCTACGAGCAGCTTGTGATCATCTTCTCCTCCCGTTCATCCTCCTCTGCTCTGATCTGGCTTGACCAGATCTGGGCTGGACCTGTGTGCTCTGGCACGGTCTGGTCTCATCGTGTCTCGTGTGAAAATGGGCAGCGCTGGTCTGGCAGGGTCGTGTGTGATCTGGTCGGGCCCGGTCTGGAGGAGGAGGAGGAGGAGGAGGCGGAGGAGGAGGAGGGGGAGGAGGCGGAGGAGAGGATGCGGAGGAGGAGAGGAAGAGGATGAGGAGAGGAGAAGGAGGAGTATGCAGGAGGCGGAGGGGAGGAGGATAGGAAAGAGAGGGGAGGAGGGAGAGGGAGAGGGGAGAGAGGAAGGAGGGAGGACGAGGAGGGGAGGAGGGAGGAGGGAGGGAGGGAGGGAGGGAGGGTAGGGAGGGAGGTAGGAGGGTGAGGATGAGGATGCGGAGGAGGAGGGGTAGGGGAGGGGAGAGAGGAGGGAGGAGAGGAGAGGAGGAGGAGGAGGAGGGAGGAGGAACGGAGGAGGAGGAGGGTAGGAGGAGGAGGAGGGCGCGAAGGAGGAGGATGGGGAGGAGGCGGTAGGAGGAGGACGAGAGGAGGAAAGAGAGGAGGAGAGGAAAGAGGAGAGGTAGGATAGGCGGAGGGAGGAGGATGAGGAACAAGGAGGTAGGAGGAGGGGAGGAGGAGGAGGCGGAGGAAGGAGGAGAGGAGGAGGAAGAGGAGGAGGAGGAGGAGGAAAAGGATGAGGGGGAGGGAGGGAGGGAGGAGAGTGGTAGGAGGGGAGGGTGGGGGAGGGAGGGATGATGAGGAAGGAGGATGAGGTAGGAGAGGAGGGTGAGGGGTAGGGGAGGAGGATGTAGGAGGAGGAAGGAGGAGGAGGAGGAGAGGAGGAGGAGAGATGGGAGGTAGGAGGTAGGAGGCGGGATGGATGGGGATGAGGAGAGGAGGGGGGAGGAGGAGGAGGAGGGCAAGAGTGATCCCGGTACGCGCCATGGATGCTGCCATGCGCCCTCGTGTGCGTCGGCTCCCCCGGCACACGTCGGTGCAGGCGGTGCAGGCCGGTTGCGGCGAGCGCCCCCGCCGGGGCAGCGCGAGGGCCCCGGGGGGCCTGCCGCAGGCTCCAGGGCCCGGGGATGCCTGGGTTTTTCCGGAAGTAGGGGGCCTCGCCTCTGGGGCTCAGCGTTCCACAAGCATCGTTATCGTCATCGTTATCGTAATGGTCATAGCTGTCGTCGTCGTCGTCGTCGTCGTCGTCGTCGTCGTCGTCGTCGTCGTCGTCGTCGTCGTCGTCGTCGTCGTCATCGTCATCGTCATCGTCATCGTCGTTGCCGTCGCCGTCGTCGTTGTCGTCGCCGTCGTCGTCGTCGTCGTCATCGCCTTCTGCTCATCTTGCCTTCGGTGGAAGTCGGCGGAATGTCGGCGGAAGCCTGCGCAAGTAGAACGGTGGCGGGTACGCTGGCGGGAAGCCGGCGGATGTTCGGTTGAAGGTGGCGGAGTAAAAGTGAGACGTCAATGCTGTCGGATTCAGGGTTTGTAAAGTCGACCCCATGATCCAGGCAGAGATTCGGGACTTGGCACGGCGTGATGATGCAAAAGCCAATGGCCCTGCGACAAGAAGCGGCGATCACGCGCCGTAGGGGAAAGCACCGTAAATGGTCCAGCATCCCGCGCTAGTCTTGGAAAGAGTCACGTCGGCGTGGCCAGTGGCACTGTTGGCCAATCCGAGCTCACATGTAATGGCGAGGTTGCACGTGGCCTCGAATGCATCTTTCCAATGTTCCAGTGCAGTCGCGCAGGAGGCGCCGAGCTAAGCCCCTTGCAGTCTATGGGTGTTCAGGCTGGTTGGCAGCGATCACAGTGGGGGCTGGTTCTGAGAAGAGGCTCTCCAGGCAAGTTGTGACTGTGAGCATGCAGCACCAGTCCGCTCTTGCCCAGGAAAGGGTCTTTGCGTTTGCCCTGCTTTCCTGTCGAGTGGGGGGTCCTCGAGCAGTTGAAGTCCATGCGTCAGCAAGCAGAGAGCCAGTCGATGGTGTCAGGATTGGTTTGCCCCCCCCCCCCCCCCAGGCGCCAAGTTCGAGCTCGACTCGAGCGTGCCACGGCCGTTGTACGCCACCGACGTGGACGGCAAGCTGGTCCCTGCCAAGCAGGTGCCAGACCCCCAGGCTGAGCCGTACGCCTGCCAGGTGCAGCGGCTGGCCGTGGACTTCTCTGCGCTCGCGAGCCTCGTGGAGGACGGCGGCGTCTTCAGCCAGAAGCTGGAGGCTCGTGTCAAGTCGGGCCTGTCCCTCTACAGGGGGGATATTCCAAAATGATGAAAACAAAAACGTCTGGGGACTTGAATATTTTTGGGCATCTTTTGAATATTTTTTGAAGTATTGAAAATTGTTCGTCCAAACTCCGTCTCGGGCATCTTTTGAGTATTTTGAATATTTGTGAGTATTTTTTCGGGCATTTTTTTGAGTACTTTTGAGTATTGAAAACTTTTCAAAAATGATCAGAGAAACATCAGGGGACTATTGTTTGAGTATTTTTGGGCATCTGTCGAGTACATGTTTGAGCATGTAATTTTTTTCGTCCAAGATCCCCCCGTATGGGGGACAGGGCCCGACCTTTTTGAGTATTTTTGGGCATCTTTTGAGTATTTTTTTGTTGAGCATTCGAATTTTTAATCAAAATTACCCCTTGTGGGGGGACAGGGCGAAAAAAACGTCAAGGGATTATTTGTTGAGTATTTTTGGGCATCTTTTGAGTATCTTTTGAATCTTTAACATTTGTCTTCCAACATCCCGCGGTATGGGGGACAGGGCCCGACCGAAGGCTCGTGGCTTCAGCCTCGCCGGCGACGGCTATCCCGACGGTTCGCTGCGGCTCGGCGGCTGCCGGCCGCCGGCCCCGCCAAGGGCGTGGCGCGCGGAGCTGCGCGGCCGCTGCCTGGGCACGCAGATCCTCACGCAGGCGAGCCGCGCGCTGCGGGCCGTGAGCCAGCACGCAGAGGAGCCCGCCTGCGCCGTGAGCGACCCGCGGACCACCGCCCTCGTCGTGCGGCACTCAGGGAGGGGAAAACAACTTTTTGGTCTGCGGGTCGAGAGCGGGCCTCTTCCAGTTAAGAGCTAGGCGGGGCGCGCAAAGCACTAATTGGGTAGAGGGAAAGGAAACACGGAGGGAACAAAAACACACAGGGACACAAGTCATCGTCGATCCCCCAGGAAAAGATGGGAAAACAAAAGGGACGTGGGGGGGGGGAAGACGAAAGGCCCCCAAAGATATGGGAAAGCCTGGGGGATATCTTGTTATCTGTGTGCATATATTTGTGTGTGTCCCGGGGCACAATTAATCGTCGACTCCCAGGAAAATATGGGAAAATGTGGGACGTGGGGGGGAAGACGACAGCCCCCCAAAAGATATGGGAAACTATGGGGATATTTTTAGTTGTGTGTATTTAGTTGTCTGTCCTGGGGCCCCTTCAAAGGCACGCCGTCTCGAACCTGTGGGAGGGAGAAAACAACTTTTTTTTTGTCTGCGGGTCGGGAGCGGGCCCCTTCCGGTCAAGAGCTGAACGGGAAGCGGGCAGCCTTAATTGGGGAGACAGGGCGCGGGCGGGCGGGGCCTCAGGCGGCCGGAGGGCTCAGAAAACAGGAGGGGAAAAAACACTCACAGAGAGACACGATTCATCGTCGATCCCCCAGGAAAAGATGGGAACATCTGGGACGTGGGGGGGAAGACGACAGGCCCCCAAAGATATGGGAAAACCTGGGGGATCTTTTTATCTGTGTGTATTTATTTTATTTTTCGATCCTCCTCGTCGTCCTCCTTCTCATGGCCAGCGCGCGGCAGGAACGCCGGCGCGCTGCCTTGTGTTGCCGCTCGGCTGAGGACAGACCGTGCCCTCGTCGCCTCTGCACTGGCCGCCACCGCGGCTGAGGACGTCGTCCGGCTCGCTCAGGAACAAAACACAAAAAAAATGTGTGCATTTGTTTGTGTGTCCCGGGGCACAATTCATCGTCGACTCCCAGGAAAAAATGGGAAGATATGGGAGGTGGGGGGAAGACAGAAGCCCCGAGAAAATCTGGGAAAACCTGGGGGCTATATTCTTAGTTGTGTGTGTGTGTGTGTGTTTGTGTGTCCCGGGGGCACAGTTCATCGTCGACTCCCAGGAGAAGATGGGAAGATATGGGAAGGGGGGGGGGAAGACGACAGCCCCCAGAAAATATGGGGAAACTGTGGGGAATCTCTCTATATTCGTGTGTCCTTCTTGGGGTGTCCCGGGGGCCCCGTCGAAGGCACGCCGTCTCGAACCTCTGGGAGGCGCACTTCGCCCTCGTCGAGGCCGCGGCGCGCCTGGCCGCCCTCGGCCTGCTGCCGCGCCCCGGGGCGGAGCGCGCCGCGAACGCCTCGCAGGTGGTCGACGCTGCACGTAGAGGAGGGGCCCCTCTCGCCGGAGGGACCTCTGGTGCGGGCCCACCGGGTCCCCTTCGGGCTTGCCGCTCCTCGATGTCCCGTTTTCTCGCTCACCCCTCCCGCTGACGTGGCGTGCAGCGTGTCCGGGCCTCCGCGTGCCCAGGCAGCGGCAGGCTCTGTCTTCTGTGGGGGGCGGCGGCACAGCATCACGTCGGGCCTGCCCCTCTACAGGAGGGGTCCCCCGATCGTCGAACGCGGTGCGATAGTATAGCGTTAAAAGTCGGGCCTGTCCCTTTACAGGGGGGAAGATTCCCAAATAGTGAAAAATAGTCTTGGATTTTATGTTGTTGAGATTTTTTCCTATCATTTTGGAATACTTTTTGAGTATTTCTTCTTTTTCGTCGAAGATCCCCCTGTAGGGGGACATGCCCGACTTCATAGCAGCGTCTTGTGCGCTTGTGTTCGGCCCCCACGCGGCCCCCCCCAAGAGGCCGCGCACCAGAGGTCACTCTTACCAAGGGGGTCCCTCCTCTGTGCAGCCGGAGGTGGTGCTGCTGCCCCCGGACTCGGCCAACACGGGCCTCCCCGGAGCCTCGCTGGAGCTCTGGTCGCTGCTCCTCGGCGGCCGCGTCGTCTCCGCGCGGGACGTCCGGCCGAGGGCGGTGCACTGCTTCGACCGGGCCGCGCTGATCTCCGACTTCTGCTGCGAGGCCGGAGACCTCTGCCCGGCCTCCTCGTGGCTGCCGGTGCCGCCGCGGAGCGCAGGCCTCTCGGGGCTCCCCTGCGCGGCCCACGCCGGCGGCGCGGGCTGCGCCTACGGCCTGGCGCGCGGCCGCCTGCGCGCCGCCCTGGGGGAGCGCCGCCGCGCGGCCGCGCCGCCGGAGGGCCCCGGCGCCATCCTGGTGTCGCGCCGCACGGCCAGCAACCGCAGGGTCCTCCAGGAGTCGGGGGCGGAACAGAGGGGGGTGAGGACTAATTAGGGGGGGGCGGGTATCATGGCGGGGGCCATGATCTGTCCCCAGATTTCATGGCGCCTCTTCTTATTTCATTGCGTCCCTGGCCCCCCCCGCTGGGCCGCGCACATGCCGCCGGTCATGATTTGCACCCCCCCCTCTTGGACACCCCCCTCTTGGCCGCTCCCGACAGGAGGACGCCCTGGCGGAGGCGCTGGGGCGGCTGCTGCAGGGGAGGCTGCGCGTGCGCCTGGTGGACTTTGCCAGCCTGCCGATCCTCGAGCAGGCCGCCGTGGTCGCGCGCGCCGAGCAGCTCGCCGGCGTGCACGGAGCAGGCCTCACGCACATGCTCTTCCTGCCCGCGCACGCCTCCGTCGCCGAGGTGGCGCTGCGGGAGGGCTGGCACGACGTCGACGGCCCCAAGGGCTCGCCGCCGATGTACGCGGAGATGGCCCAGCGGCTCGGGCTCGGGTACGCGTCCTGGCTCTACGACGGCCCTCTGGGCCAGGAGCTGGACCTGAATCTCTCGGCTCCTGTCATGGCGTCTCTGATGTCCCGGGCGCACTCCCTGCGGTGACCAGGCCGCGGTGCTCCGCCGGGTGTGCGAGAAATAAGCGAGCGGCCGCGTGGCCGCCGCGGAATGGTCCTCCCATCGCTCCGGTGTGCGAGCACGCCTCGTCGTCTCCACCCCTTGCGCTTCCTCCTCGCGTACCTCCTCCTCCTCTCCGCTCCTGCCCTGTACGTGTGGACATGGCTCTGTTGTCGGGGGCGGAACAGAGGGGGGTGATGACTGGGGGGGGGGGATATCATGGCGGGGGCCATGATCTTTCCCCAGATTTCATGGCGCCTCTTCTTATTTCCTTACTTCCCCGGCCCCCCCGCTGGGCCGCGCACATGCTGCCGGTCATGATTTGCACCCCCCTTCTTGGACCCCCCCCCTGGCCGCTCTCGATGTTGGCGAATATGGCTGATTTAGTGGTTTCTTTTTTCTCGGATGCCATGCTTTCTTCTCGGATGCGCAGGGGTGCCGTACTCGCAGTGACACGTGCGCTGGTGATGCAGAAATTTGCCCTTTCGGGTTCGGTTCAGTGTTTCTTCAGGAACATCCAGGGAGCAGGCCCAGCTTCCCCCCTGCGCATACTTTTGGCGGGAAATGTTAACCGATGTTTTAGCAGGGGAATTGCCCGCCTTGGTTAGATTCATTTTCATTTACTCTTGGTCATTATTTGGGTTGCGTGCATCCTCGTGAGGTACTCTGACCACTGAGGTGCCCCTGTGCCGCGAGAGATCCGCCCAGGTTGGAAAGCGTGTATCGGAGCATTTTGAAGCGGGCCTGGCCGGCATTCCTGGCCCCTGAGCCCGCTGCTCGCTGCCGTCTGCCCGTGGCCTGTGTCGCACTCTGACAGGAGCGTCCGCCGCTGCGCGAGAAGTCGCCCGTGGGACTCTAAACCACCGTGTGGCGGCGCCGGTGTAGGCCCTGCGGTAAACTAGCAGCCTGGCGAAGAACGAACAAAGGCAGGTGGGCACCTTCGTGCCCAAGCCCCACCCCTGCGCGACGCCAGCTTCCACAAGCCGTTAGCCACAACATTTCAGGAGGGAAAGAAACTCACAGACACAATTAATCGGCGGTTCCCCAGAAAATATGGGAAACTATGGGAAATGGGGGGGAAGACAAACACCCAGAAAATATAGGAAAATATGGGGAATATTTTTATGTGTGTGTATTTATTTGTGTGTCCCAGGGCCCCTTCAACATTGTGCCAGGGAGAGCGGCCGCCGCTGGCGCCAAGCCTCGGCAGACCGACGCCCGTGGGGACGAGGGCCCTGCGCTCTGGCCGTCCCCGTGGAAGGCCGCCGGTCGAGGGCAGGGCCGGCGGCGCCCGCGAGGGGTTGGAGCAGGGCGGGGCGGTCTTCTGCGACGGCGGGGGGGTGGGG